TCTAATAAATGAGGATTAAGGAGTTAATATGTAGATTTAGTGTTGTGTTTAGGGATCTCATTATTTGATTGAATTAGTTGAATTATATGGTCAAATATTGATTGTGTGAATATTGAGGAGCTAGATTGATAAAAAAAAATGCTATAATATTTTGATTAAAATTTGATTGGAATATGCCTAAAAAATTTAATGTAGTAGACATAGAACTATTTATAATGAATTTCGAAATACAAATCAAAAGACATTTTTTTTGCATATGAGCTATCTTTAATAGATTATTTTTTGTTTGTGATGTCTACTCTTCTTAATAATGGTCGGGTAGTAGTCTGGTGGTGGAAGTCTAGTGGCGATCTGGTATTGGTCAGGTGATTTTTTGATGGTGATTGTCGAACGGTTTTCTGATGGTGAATATTATACGATGTTCCCACTGTGATGATTTGATGTTGTTCTTTCAGCATTTAAATGCCAACCATGCTAAAATTTAGTAATCTTAGGTTCTTTTTGTCACAACCCAACCCGAAAGAATAAGGCTGAAAGAGAAGTTACTTTGAAAAAAGTCGTAGATGCAATAATTGTATTCTTATTTATTTTTGTGATTTGAGATTTGAGTTTTGAAATAACGAGGACGATATTTTTCTGAGGGGAGAGTTTTGACACCTCCAGAATTAGCATCTGGATTGATATGTTTTGAAGTGATTGAAAAAACTCGCAAGAAGAGGATTTAGGAAAGAAAGGGAGGAGAGGGAGAGAGGGGAGAGTCCGGTTTTGGGCGACATTAAGCCATTTTCGTCCGTTGGCACAATTGAGAAATTTTATTCATCTCGAGGTAAGTCACATTAAGCACATATCAATTTTTATCAAAAAATTTTAATAAAAATGTTGTTTCCATTAGAGAAAAACATGTATAACTTTGTATTGGTAAAACTTTTACCGCTTAACTTTTTATATGTTATAAAGATTATAATTATGCATATTTTGAATATTCCTCGTGCAGAATCACTCTTCTCAAATGTCCAAAAATAGGAATCCAAAATCTATCCTTGCAGAAAATAACACCAGAATAAAAAACTCATAATTCAGATTTCTTACCATATATAATATGATTAATCAACTTTGGATATTCTGCATCAGCCTTTTGAGCTTCTAAATCTTTTATTGTAATGAAGGTTGAATGATAATATAAGCCAATATACTAGAATCTCAATTAATAGAAGAAATTACCTCAAACTGTGATCTTTCCATATATCGTATTAAATACTCATCAGAAGTGAGCTCTATATATGATAATCTAGATGACTTCCTACTCAGAGAGTCTGTCATCACATTAGCCTTATCAGGCTGATACTGAATAATCAGATCATAGTCCTTAATCAACTCAAATCACTTTCTTTGCCTCACATTCAGATCTTTCTAAGTAAATATATATTTCAAACTTTGATGATCAATAAAAATATCACACCTAACACAGTGCAAATAATATCGCCAAATTATCAAAGTAAATATAATAGCAACTAACTCTATATCATGCATTAGATAGTTTCTGTTATATGGCTTCAACTATCTAGAAGCATAAGCTGTAACTCTATCATGTTGTATTAGAACACACCTCGAACCTCTCAGTGAAGCATCATTGAATACTTGAAATCTTTCTATACCAGATGGAAAGCATCACTAAATATGCTCTTCTTCCCAAAAAGTCACTACTAGAAGTCTCACTACTGAATCTCTTTTTATTAACAGTCCATCGTTACTAAGTATCCATCATATCGTTCTCTATAAGGCAAGTTCGCTCTATTAGCTCAAAGAAATCAGAAATGTGAAATGGCACGAGAGACTGTTTCTGACTATCCCGAAGTCCTCTCAGGAACTTGTAGCATTTCTCCGAAGGAGTGCTAACTAGTTGTGGAGCATATTAAGCCAAAGCAGGGAACTTTGTCTCGTACTACATAACTATTCTGCTCTCCTGAACCAGCCTAAAAAGATCCGCTGCACCTATTAGCTTACAAAAGGTGGTACAAATCAAGCTCGAAATAGATCAGAAAATGCCTTCCAACTAATCAAAGAATTCAATCTCCTTAGAAATTTGTCCTCCTACTAGCCCATCCTCTAGCGCTCAACCTCTCCATAAATGATACCTTCCTCTCAGTAGGACATTGTATACCGTCAAATGTCTTCTCCAACCCCCTCAACCAGTCATATGCTACTTTAGGCTCAATAGTACCCTCAAATCTTTGAGGCTTCAATCTCAAAAAACATCTGCATATGTCTATCTACCTCTTCAAATCTCACTGCAAGAATCCTGCTCTGTGTTTCACCCATAATCTAGGCTATCAATATAATAAACTATGACAATGTATCTAAACCAACTATTGGAGCAATACTATAAACATGAGCTACTTGACTAGCACTATGTCCATCTGTCATATCTAGATCTGGTGGATCCATGATCACACATAAATGAAATAAAATAACGAAAACCAGACAGAATTAAAACTACCCCACAAGACTTGCATATTAATTCCTATAGCTCTGTTTTATAATCTAATTCCAAAACTATTACGTTGATACTACAAAATCTTATCACAACTCAACCCGATCAGGGCAGATCCTATCGTGTTGAGCTGTGACAGGCTCCTAAGATCTAGTTTTGGAATGTTTCAGATTTTTTTTTCAATGTTCATTTTAAATAAAATATAGACTACAAAGCTACTAAAACATCAAAATACTAAAAAAAAAAACCCATCCACCAGGTTTTTTCATTTCATCAAAATATATATCTGCACTACAGTACATGGCTACAGGTTGAAGCTATAGAATTGAAAGATAAATTAATCATGTATGTACAAAAATTAAAATAGAGAAATACCTTTAACCTCATAATTGATACTTAATTAGTGCATTACGACCCTAATTTGATCAATAATAATGCTTCGAAGTGAAATAAACTTCGAAGCATTATTATTGATCACATTAGGATCAAAAAAGACAAGAAGAAAGTTTAGCCACTTAACTCTACAAGGCTCCTTCAATAATGAAGTATGAAAAATAAGAAGCTTAATTCCATTAAATAAAAAAAGAACTTCGGCATCAAACAACATGATCATGCTCACATAGGTAAATGATTGCGATCACAGCTTTTTGTTTTTTTAATTGAACTTGCGTGCCTTAACAACTCTACTATATTATTTTTAGCAAAACGGGGAAATTAGCTTGTTATTAGTCCATAAATTAGAGTATAATGCTTTCAATTACACCCGTGAAGACGAAATTAAAGAATGGTCATTCAAGAATAATTAATATAAACTAGGCTCTTAATTGCTGATTAAGTAATGACTTATTGAGTTAATTTATGGGTTAAAACATTACACTTATTAAGACAATCAAACCCATCAAGGCTTAGGATGGTTGGTGGGCGAGCACAGTTGGGAACCCCCCACCCGGGTTCGAATCCCCTCTACTACAGCCTCTCTTCAGTGGGCAAAGCAAGTGTGGGCCCGATGCCGGTGCGTGGCCTAGCTAGCTAGGTTTCACCAAGGGATTAATTATGCCGCCAAACACTCCCTTTGGAGTGGCAGCGAGTAGATACCCCCGTTCCAAAAAAAATTAAGACAATCAATGCTCCATGTTTATGTGGAAAGCGAGAATAGGATGTTTTGGATGTTATGGAGCAGTAGTGAACTGTGGCCAAAATTGAAGTGAGAAAGCATTAAAGACTAGTTTTCTAATTCAAGGAACTTTGAACATTTTGTTAACAGAAAAAACACCAATCATGATTGAGGGAAGAGGAAGAGATCAAAGCAGAAAACTTTCATGTTACTATTCGTGTGCTTATTTCTTAAAAAATCAACTCACATTCTTCTACAGTCTGCAATCAGACTCTCGAATACTTTATTATACTGCCCATTGGTTTTATAGGCATTTTCACCACATTATATCTATCATTACTTTGCAAGAAAAACGATAGGATCATGAGAACACCTCAGTGGTGAGAGCTTGTTCATTGTAGGATTGCGCAAACTTTAATGTATTTCAACAAGAAACCAATTCTCACAATAGATAAACAAGTAACCCTTATTTAGATGAAATATAACATGTTTAGTGCCCAATAGTTTTTGAATGTTTATAGATAGCTTTTGTAGCACTATTTTTCCAGCATTAATGCTTCAGTGTTGAGAATGACGGCTTTATACATTCAAGATCACAACACCATGAACAATACTATTTAGTGCAATTAAATAGAGAATTAGTACTTGTTCCAAGTGAGAGGAGGATAAAGGTGGAGATTTATTATGACAACACAGAAACACCTTGGCTTCTTTCAGCTGATTTGCTTTCAAACAACAACAACATTAAGCCTTTGTCCCACTATGTGGGATCGACTACATGAATCTTTTTTCTCCATTGTATCCTGTTAAAAGTCAAATTCTCGTTTAAATCTAATAAAGAAAGATTATTTCTAATATTTCCTAACCAAGTCTTTTTAGGTCTACTCCTACCTTTCTTAACATAAGTCAAATCTCATACCTCTACTTTCCTAACCGGGTCATCGAAAGGCCGCCGTTTTATATGACCAAATCATCTAAGGCGACTCTCTCTAATCTTGTCTTCCACTGGTGCTACTCCAACCTTTTCACCATTTGCTTTCAAAAAAAAAAGAAAAAGAAAAAAAAAAAACCTAGCCTATCAAAGTTTGAGACTACACTGCAGATGTCTCTCTGCAACTCATATGGCTGCACTAGCACTGGCAATATACTTAAGAGCAACTCATATTGGTGAGAGATCTCTGTGAGGGTATGAGTGACTTTATTCCTACACACAACACCAACAGAACATTAACAAATGAAGATGTCAATCGCATTGGCAGCAGGACAGTGTGATTTCTCATTTATCTTTTATGAGAATGACATTTCATACTCCAATGCAGGAACATAATATAGAATTACTATTCAGGATTTCTGGATGCAATGGGATACTTCAGAAAGCTTCCAGTTCAATCTATCTACATTTGAATTTGGAAATCAAATAGATGCTTTGAGGATAGAAAGCAATAGCATAGTCTCTAAAGTTGGGTATGAAGTGTTTGTTCTATGACTACCAATAGTAGAATACATTGGTTGAATGGAGCTGTCTGAGCCCAATTTCACCTGATGGAGTGGTTGGAACTGAACAAGGATCAATTAGATCAAAAAATAAGCCAAGTGAATAAATCTGCAAACAAGATAAGATCATTAGCAGAAAATTCACGCCTTGAGTTCTAATAGTCTTTGAATATCACTTAATAGAGTCGAAAAAACAACCGATCAGGGCACGGATTGGTCTTTTTTTTCCCTTTTTATCCAATCGCCACTTCATTTTTTTCAATTAATTGATGAATGAATGAGCGAAAACATTTTAATTTTTTTATTATTTTTGTGAGAAATTGTATTTGTAATGACTTAAAATTCTAATGATAGTCTCCTATTATCAGAGTGTTTGTAAAAACTTTTTTTTGTTGCTTTTAGTTACCATTTGCTTTAAATTTTCCAAAAAGTTGCATAATAAAGAGAAAAATATTTCTTATCTTTTTAAAATACAGATGTTGAAAAATGAAGCACATTCAAATTATGACATTATTGAATTCTCACTATGACATCTTGTGGATGTTGATCATTTGTGCCTGTTCCATAATGGTGACAAAAAACTGTCATGTTGGTATAGATGTGTATCATTATTATGCATTGAATTGGCTTTCCAGTAATTGTTGAAGGTGTGGTATCCAATGAAGATTAGTGCTTGTTAACTTTATTATATGGTAATTACATCATCTTTAGTAGTTAATTCTATAAGCATTACGTCATAATAAACGAAGTTATTTGATAGGGAATGCTTGTAGATCTCAAGTAGGGGTGTCAATTTTTGACACGACACGAAAACCCGACCCGGACCCGCCGGGTTGGACCCGACCCGATTTCAAAACGGGTCGGGTTCGGGTTCCAGAAATCGACCCGTTTCAAAAAACGGGTCGGGTTCGGGTTGACCCGGCGTGACCCGTTTCTCTACCCGGGTCGGGTTAGGGTTGACCCGTTTTCCACCCGGGTCAGTTCGGGTTCGACCCGAACCCGACCCGTGACCCGAAATTGACACCCATGATCTCAAGTATTTCCTATCAATCTTCGGCAAACAACGAGAATTCTCTAAAAAAATCCGCACAAAATCACGAAAACAGTCGATAATTTGTATTATTTGATGAAAGGGAAACAAAAAATAGCAAGATACAATTTAACCTCTATTCGAGAAGAGGATCGATCTCTCCCAAATCTCTAGACGCCGCTAGAGCCCAAAAGAAAACCTAAATCTAAGAGATCTCAAATTTAAGCCAAATTCAAGATCCCCTAACCCTAGGAAAACAAACTATTTAATGCATACAAATGAAAAGGAAATCCCTAAACAGTCCCTACATTCAAATTTCCCTCTTAACCTTGAAATTCACCAGCATTTATTCAATTGAACTTCTCTTTCATTTTTAAGTCATGTTTAGACACTATCGAGAGAGACCTTGTAAGAGATTGGCAAAATTTTTTCTAGCTTTGGGGACTATATGACTGAAGAACAGAGTGGCATGGCCGACCAACACTCCGTTGAAGATAAAGGCAAGGCGATGTTCAATGAAATTTGTAGTATTGTATGCATCATTGGACGTCAAGACTAAATGAGTTATAAGAAGACTACATGTAGAGGCCATGAGGACACATAATAATGGGCATGAGAGTTTCTAACAAGTGATGGTTGGAAAAATGTAGACGAAAGATTTATAGAGCATAATCATCATATAGTTAGTCTTGATGTCCTTCAAATAAGCTACCACGAGCTGTTGCATGACAGGTTAAACATTAAAATAGACGATGATAACAGGTCGAAAGTTAATGTAGATGATGTCATACTTTATTATATATGGAGAATGATTTTATATTAGATGTTTATGTAAACTTATTAATCAATCATATATGAAAGGTAAGGGCATAAGGTTTTTAATCGAGCCTAAGTGGCAAGAACATATATGCTAATGGCGCAAAAATAACACGTGCTATGGCATAAGGCATGGCAGAGTGTAGCCTACATAAGATGTTATTTGCTTGGCGCGACACAAGTGTTCAAAATAGTGCGTACTATTTGCACCATGTAGCGCATGACATAATAAATAGTGCTCACAATTTTTTAACGTATAGTGAATTAAAAATTAAAAATTAAAAATTATAATTATCATGATTTATAGATTAATATCACTATCAATTAATAATTAATTAAATATCAAATTGATGAAATATACAAAAATTTATTTAATCTCTAATCTCTAAATGAAGACTTAAGCTAATATAATAAATTGAATTATTTATTATCCAATAGGTTGGTTCTAAAAAAAAATGATTGGAGCAAAAAAGGATCAGAAAGAAGCAAAAATGGAGTTCGGCTAGCTCTTCTCTTCCATCGCTTGTCTATTTCTATAATCTCTCTTCTCTATGGTGTTTCTCTAAACTCTTCTTAGAGTTGTAGGATTGTCTAGGTTCTTTGTAGCTTTTTCGATTTCGAAGTAGACTCTTGAAAGAGCTGCACAAGGTTTTAGTTTTATATGGAATATGATTGTGTTGTACAATCGGGTTTTTCTATTGCCTTGGACCTCAATTTAACTTATCGTGCTCACTGGGGGGTACCCCTGCGTGGGTTCGGGTGCTTTCACAAAAAAAAAAAAGTTTTTCGTACAGCGCCCCGTGTTGTGTACACAGGCGCTGCAGAATAGAGGAAAAGCACTGCAATTCTCTACATTCAGCATCGCAGCGCTATGTGATGTCATAGCGCTGAGATTTTAAGCATCGCAACATCATGGTGATAGAGGTTTGAGCGTCATAGCGCTACAAACTGGCACCGCAACATTGCGAGGCGGACTTGACAATTTTCTTTCTCGTTTTACTGAAGGGTTGCATCCCTTTGTGTTATTAACTTGACTTTCTCTTGTATTTTGTCCGAAAACAGTGTAAGAGAAGAGAAGTAAAGAGAGAGTGAGAGGGAAAAGAGATCTGTACTTATTTCTACACATTTTTATAGTGAATTATTTGGTGTGGTATAGCTTAGTATTTTTTTTTTTCAATTTTTCCACGTTAAATCCAGGTGACATTTACTTTCTGCTGCTTTTACTTTCTTGTTTGTTCTCATCGCAGTGTTTTCTTATATTCCGAACACAAGGAAATTTTTTCGCCTCCTTCAAAGACAACATTGTTCCTATATGATAGAAAGTCACAATAGGAGCTCACCGAGAAGATAACAATCTTTATCCCCTTTTGCGCGCTTCTTCGGCTAAATCCAGTAAATCTGTCGAAGTACATGATTTACTAAATCTAAGATTTAAGGAAAAATGGAGAAGGAATGATTTTAAGTTTTTGTAGAATTTAAAGTTGATATTTTTTATAATTTTGCTAGATTTAGGCTAAATCCTGCTCAGTACATGCATAAAAAAGCCATTTATCTAAACAAAATGCATTAAGACACTCTTCCATTATAATAATCCAAAAGTTTAAAATGAATTTAATTAAAAATTTTGAAAATTTTAGATATAGCAGGCAGAGCTGTGGCGTTGGGCTGGCAAGCGCTACGGCGCCAAGGAACCGCCACCGCAGCATTGAAGTCTCTATCCTACAATAATTTTGGGATTGACATGCAGCACAGTGAATCTCTTATGTCCTCCCATTTAGCTATTTAGGCATGATGATATGTCATCCAATTGATGTCAGCCTTCGCACACCCATCCACTCTAATAAAGCTAAGATCTATAGGTTGTATATCAATGCAAGGGATATACCTGAATTGACATAAGAACCTATATGGCAAGTGTCACTCGACCTTCTTCCAACTAATTAGAGGCACACGAGCCAACCAAATACCCTCTTCAACCAAACATATATCTGCAACTCTAGCTCTAATGTGGTTGTTGTATGGTTCCCATATGGCATGCATTCATATATGACTATGTTTAAGAGCCCATAAGTAACGACGTCATAATAATGATAATTCATATACAAAGGTAGAACATAATAGTATGACACCTGGCTTTGAAGTAATTCGTCTAACTCATCCTTGTATGTAGTAACATTAACAACGGGCATCTATCAAACTCACACTTCATTCTACCTACAATTCATAGTGATACTTTAATAGTGATAAGAAAGATGTTTCATCTCAAAACTTCTAAGTAATTGGATAATTTGATTAGAATTCTTACACGCATCCCAAGTTGAGTCCATCTAACTGCATAGGATATGAAACATGAAGTGTTAGGCGTCCAACATTTATATGTTACCGTGATCATACCTGCAGCAAATGTAAGCAAACTATCATGTTTGCACACTTGGATTTGGTTGCCTCATGCGGCTCTTTATAGAGGTGCACTAGAACTAGGGGTGTAAACGAGTTGAGTCCAGTCGAGTCGAGTGTTGGTACTATCGAGCTCAGCTCGTCATTTTAATAAAAGCGAGCTCGAACTCTAGCTCGAGCTTGAGTCGAACTCAAAAGGTGAGCTCAGCTAGAGCTCGTCGCATTATAAACGAGCTCGAGCCGTCTCATGAGCCTCGGCAGTCGTCCGTGAAACTTCCCGCCCGCGAAACATCTGCTCGTGATTTCCTGCCCACAAAACTTCCCGCCTGCGAAACATTTGCATGTGATTTCCTGCTTGTGAAACTTCCCGGCTGCAAAACATCTGCCCGTGATTTCCTGCCCGCGGAACTTCTACCCGTGATTTCCTGCCCGCCTGTGGAACTTCTGCCCGCTATTTCATGACCACGGAAATTCCCGCCCACGAAACTCCGCCTTTGTCGCGAGCCGCTCGACGAGCTCCTGAGTCGAGCAATGTGTTGTTTGAACTCGAGCTCGATAAGCCGTTAAGCTCGAAATCTTGTTCGAGCTCGACTCGTCGAGCCTGTTAATGAGTCGAGCGCGAGCCCGCTCGCGAGTCGGCTTGACTCAGTTACACCACTAGCCAGAACTGTCTCTCTCAATGAAAATGTAATGAATAGATCTATGTTTTACAATAAGGGGGTACTGCAAGTGAACCTCCAATAACAAGAGGTATTGAGATATGAGGCAATAGAAAGAAAGTTAATAGAAATAAGATATATGATCTTATGCCAGAACTCCAAATCATTCCGGTTTATGTATGTGTCCCTCCAAAAACTCCATATAAGCCAACTAAGCATCATATATTTGTGCATGTGACAAACCCATACAGAACATGAAACTGGCTCATGGGTTCAATGGGTCATGATAAATGACATCAGGCTGTGGATGTCATCTCCTCCCTACACCAACTGCAATATGTCTTACCAATGTTGGCCCGTCAATCTGCAATTCCAGAATCATAGCAATGTCCTGCAATGTAATAAACAACTCACCAATAGCTAAATAGAATGTGTTCGTCTGTGGCGGCCACCTCCCAACAAAATCTGTAAGCAAATGATTGAACAAAAGAAACTCAACCGCAAATTGAAGTCCCAAAGGCCTAGGAAAATCTTTGGAATAGATGTGAATCAGTGGAATATATTCTATACATAATTCCAAACCTATTTGACCATATGACTTTCATAAACAAGTTGACCGTATGATATGAGTTCTCATAGCTGCCAAAAATTGTCTTTATTGCTTTCCTTATTGCCTCCCAGGCTTTCATGTACAAAATATTGATGTTGAATTTTACTTCAATGCGGTTAATTATTTCTCTCGGCTTAAGGTCAATTTGAAACCTAATAATAAGCAAGATGAAGTAGCTACCAACATGGGGTTTGTGCATATATGTGCAGATCTTAAAGTTAATTAATACCTTCCAATCAACCACCCAAATGCTTGTTGGAATTTGCATATAACCACCACATGCATGGTCTAGACAAGTTCGCATGTTCCAAACATGAGACTGAATTTTTTTTTATTGGATGCCAAAATTTGAAATTCAATGTTATTGATGACGGACCACCGTGCAAGGCGAATTCGAGGTCCAACTTGCTCGTGAAACACATTCCTTCAATTAATTCATCTACGATGCATGACTCCTCTACACTACTTTCACCTGGACTATCAAAAAATATTTAATCTTATTCTTAAGTGGTTGACATAAAGTAGCAAATTCGTTGTGGCAAACTATATTTCCATCATATTAACAATTCTAACACAATAATCTTTAATAATATTTTACACCTCGCCATGGGCATCTATGTCAGTTCTACCAAAACATGATATAGAATCCTCTGATTTATCACTAGATTCAATACTGGTGCCACTACTCATAGTTTTGTATCCTTTGTTGAACATTGGTGGCTCAATCCTGTTGTCTTCTGTTGGACATATGTAACTACGAGAAGATTGTGATTATGGACCTAGAATGTTCAAGTCAAACTACATTGGGGATAATCTATTGAATTTACAAGAGAAACATCATAACCAAATGAAAATTAAACATAAAAAAGCTTTAGTGAACTTAACGTTAGCACGACAATTACTGCACTACTAAAGCATGTCATCAAGGTCGAATCATTGACACGTATATCAACCCCTTCATCATTGGTGCATTGTCTAGTTCCCATTGTTCGGTACCGATCACTTCGACTTCCACATATAAAATCATAAACTATCGACAAGCATGGCATAACACTACTTCACACACCTCAGCACAACAAAATCACTTCCTATTGGAAGACAGCACACCAAGTTCACAGTAAATTTGGAGGCTTCATAGTTGAGCGATTCAAGTATTATTTTTTTCAGTTGTTCTAATTTTGTGTTTGCTAGGACTTATAAGGGATTGTTTCTCTCACTGATATATGTGGCAGAGAATTATTCATCAATGCTCAAATGTCCATCATACAATAGCATTAGTGATGCTAAACGTCTGCTCATTATTCTCAGAATGTGTGCATAGCAAATTAATTGGGATCCCGTGGTATCCTACAACAGCCTCAACATTGTTGAGGTCAAACTTTAAAAAATTAATATTTCATTATATAACAACTCATGAAAGATAGAGAAGCTGATAAATCACTTACCGCCAAAATTTAAAACAAGAAAATTTATATTGTCAACATGTTGCAAGTTTAGACCTAAGGTAAATAATATATCTATCAACTTGAACTAATTCCACTATTTTTATCAAATTTCTTACAATCTTCTTTGAGGCGGGGTTCTAATTAACCACCCTTAAAGAGGTCCCTTCCTAGATCTATCATGGATTTAATGCAAGCTGAGTGTACCCTTCATAAGTTTCCTCTCTAATAGCTCTCTTTATGTCATTGTGAGTTTTAATCTCAATATTATTCCAAATACAATAGTTAATAATAATTTTGTTGTCAAGTACATTTTATTTTTAATTTCACTACATATGAGAGAGCAAAAAATGAATTGCGAAACTATAAAAAAAAAACCTTGCTACCAATCATAACGTAATAAATGGTTTAGCAAGAGATGCGTCGTTGGGTTTTGGAATGTGGCGACTGAGGGTGCTTGTGGGAAAGAGGTGGAGAAGAGGGAGTTATGATGATTCGAAAGGGGGGGTTAAACAATAGTGTATATGGGGGCATAGAGGGGTCTTGTCAGGATAGAGGAGGTGGAGGGAGATGGGAGAGGACCAAGTCGATGGGGCTGTTGAGATGGAAGGGGTTGTTGAGATGGAGGACTCAATCCGGGGCTATCAATTTAAATGAAGGGAAAGCCAAGCTAGTTGCAAATTAAATGGGCAACTGGCTCACCTCATCTTTCACTTTGGTCAAAGGCTGAAGAGATTCTACAACGAAAATAAAAATTCAAAATAAAAAATTGAGCCACTTGCCCATTTAAAAGGCGGCTATTTATTTGAATTTTAAAAAATAAGAATAATAATAAAAATAAATCACCCATTAAATTGGCGACTAGTACTCCGTATCAACAACCAGTCTCCTATCTATCATGCAACTCAGCATGTTTCTTAATTTATTTTTATCATTTTTTAAATATTTTTTAATTACAACAATTTTAAAAATTTATCCAATAAAACGTACTTTGAGTATCATCAAAGAAATTAATAGAATATTTGAAATAATTCATGAACAGAAGAAGGTTTTATGATGGCGAATAACTTTCACAACTGATCAAAATTTTCTTAAAAATTAATTGTTAATCCAAGCATTAATGCTTCACAAAGAAAATTAAAGAAACGTAAGGTAAATCAGCTTTCGATCCAATTGGCATATGTAGTAAGTTGCAATTAACCTTAATTGCTTTTAAAGTCTTTAATGAGAATACAAGGCAGATTGTACAATACAAATAACTTAAATTGATTTCATATTTAGCTTATACTGCAACCCTTTTTAGTGAGTGCACAATCTTTTGACTCCTTTCATTATGCTTTCATTTTCGCTGCTCTACATGAATGTTCGATGAACTATAAAATTGCGAATTTATCCTATATGATGCCCATCCATTTGAGCTTTACTCCAAAAAAGCCAAAAAGACATTCATCCATGTCTGACTATTAAACTAACAAGATACAGCAATTGGTAAACTACAAAAAGATGCTTATATTAAAACCAGCAGATAGGTTTCTACCTATTGCCTCATGCACAAATAACCCCATCCTATCCATGGCTGCTATAAAATGGACCAAACAACCTTTTTTTTTTTTTCAAACTCTTATTCTTGTATTCTTTCAATAACAACAAAAACAAAAATGATGTCGGCACTAGGAAAGTTCATCACCAAGTTTTTTTTATATTTGGCAATCCATAAGTAGATTCCATTAGTGCCTAGGCCCTACCTGATATTTAGGCTTCGTTTGGGATGGCTTTCCTAGTGCTTCTTAAAATGACTTTTTAGTATAAAAATTTTAATTTTTAAACTAGAAAGCTATTTTAAGAAGCAATAAAAAAACCGTCCCAAACGAAGCCTTACTCGCACAAGAGAAGCAGCTACTCAACTAAGACACCTGAAGCTTCCACACTACTGACAGCCTAATAAGGCAAGTAAGGCAAATATGACGAATTTCTACATTGCCAAGTGACCTCAACGCTCAACAAATGAGCCACACATACAAAACAGCGATTTTAACATTTAAAGAATTAATCGATGTCCTTTAACAATGATCCTCAACCATTAAAAAGTATCTATTTGAGACTTCTCAAATATTAGGTGGTAAAGAGTCAAAGATAGTGATCAATCAATAATTAACCAATGGTCTGATGCTTAATCACTTGTTCATGGTTTCACAAAGAGCTTAAATCAAAAAATATAAAAACAAACATCAAGATATTTTTCGGAAATGTATTTAGCTGTTCAGATAAATGGGAAATAAATAGATCCACTTTAACAAGTGAACGAAAATATTAACATGCAATTCAGGTAGAAAGATTGATCTTACCTGCCTGTATGATTGGACTGATTCATTCTTCCACATGTAGACGAACATGGCAGAGTTTGTTCAGCTGCAATGTAAGCATTTTTGCCAGGTTTAGCAGGTCAGTATACGCATCTGGGCAGTCACCAAGTGAAAAAATAACATGAAAAGAAGCAATAAACAGAGGAAGGATTTGCTTTTATACTCTTTTGAGATTGGAGTTTTTCAAAATTTTGGCTATTTTGCCATCTAATTGTGGCTTCCATCAGTCCTCAAACAGTCTAATTTTTGGCTTCAGATCTGTAAAGGTGGTTCCACACGCATGTGGATATGTTAGGGACAACCCAAATTCTAACCTTCATCCTAAATAAATGTGCAATTTAGTTGATATCACTCGCATGACTGTGAAGAAAAAGATGGACATATGAAGTTCTGCAATAAGTAGCTGATTAAATAAAACAAATTAGCCACGGATACAAATATAGACATCCATATGCCAAAGCATTGGCAGTAGAAAAGGTACCATTTGTGCGGTAAAGGATACACAGTTAGAAAAGGATAACCAACTTGCAGATCATCTATGATATGTGTATTCATAATACCAAAGAGCTGAGAAAATTATTAAAAAAAAAAACTTTAGGGAAGAAAATTAAACAGAAATTAAAAAAGGTTAAAGTTAGGATCTAACAGAAATGCTGAAAAATAAATGAGTTGCCATAAAATGTAGCTCATATTGATTATGAAACGTTATAGGCAGATAATTACATATTCCAGTTATCCCATGCTTTAAATGGTAACAGATTTGGAGATTAAAATTTAAAACTCACAGTGGATGGTTGAAAAAAAAATTTTCACCCAACAGAGGTATAATAGAGATTCTTATGAGTAGGGTAAGAAAAACTGAAAATATAAGTACATCGCTCAAATGGATATTTTTTTACTGAAAGAGGCATAAGCAAAGAGCCGAATGTATTTTCACTTAAATCTTTTTTAAGGAAAAACAAGGTATCTAGGTATTCTTAGTAATTGGATGAAAATTTTGCGTGTTGCAAGATTTATTCTTTTCAAAAGTGGAAAGAAAAATGTAGGTGATCCATAGAATCAGAAACACTGTCAAAATAATTCTTTTATAATTGTGCACACTAATCTTCTTAGCATAAAAACCATCATCACTTGTTGAAAGTAGATCGGCATAAGTGAATAAAGTGGTAGACACAAAGTCATCATAAAGTATTATCCGATATAATACTTTTTTCTCTTAACAAAATGAAACAATTGTGCAACAGAAATCATTTTCAAGATAACAAAGAACAATATCATATTAGTGATCTATTGAAAATATGTTGCATAACAAAGTTAACTTAATTACTCTTTAATAAAATGTAGGGACGAAAAATAAAAATAAAAAAAAACTCAGAGCAATAGAACTTATAGAGAATAACATTCAGAATACATACAATGCAATGAAAGAAAAAAGAAGGCTACGGCTTTCTGTCTGCCTTTTTGGATGACTGCTCTTTGATGGAAAGAACAAGAATTTATAGCCAACATATGGAGTTTATAAGGTAGACAGAAGAAGAGGTTCGTAGTTTTCATATCACCTTAGAGTGTAAGCATCAAATAAAATCCAGTTAAAAAACAAGTGTTGCTAAGTACCACTAGTATGGAAACATACCACCATAAGTTAAAAATTTATCAGCTTGCAAGCAAGATTCAGAAAGTTCCTTTTATTGCGTAAAATGAAGACATCATAAGATCATTAGCAAGAAGCATTTATCTACCAATGATCTTTTGCTCAGGAGATACACGCCCTAGTTGTCAGCGTATAGGCCTCAAGTTCCAATAGTGCTTGCATACCCTGCTTCAAGCTATACTTGTGCAGAGTTTATAACTTGAATTGTGCTATATTTATTATCAATAAAAATATTTGGGATCAGCTTGAGAACCAAAGCTCACCGGAACTCCTCACAAGAGGTGACGCCTGAAAGCATGCATATTTAACGTGCAAAGATCAAAAAGGACCCTAAGGGAAAGTTGCCAAATGAAGCAGGAAACATGCTGAACAAAAGTAGATTACTGTCAACTATGTAGCATGGCGTTAATACTAAATCTAGGGCACTTTAAGAACTACATAACATTTCTGAATGAAAATGAAATTCAGCAAAGAAAGAAACAAATAAATAATTTCTTCTAGTTCTGTCATTGATGAGGATAAATATTCATCATGGATCAATGAAATACTGCCCATATATTTTCACTAACTTTTAATATAACAGCAATAATAACAAACTTTTTATCTCAATATGTAGGGTTGGCTACATGAATCATTTTTCTCTATTGTGTCCTATTAAGAGTTAAATTCTCATTTCAATTTACTAAAAAATGTCATTTTTAATACCAAGTCTTTTTATGTCTACCTATATCCATCTTAACATAGGTTAGATCTAATATATCTACTCTCCTAACGAGATCATTAGAAGGTCGACATTTTAAGTGACCAAACCATCTAAGATGAATCTTTCTAATCTTATTTGCCACTAAAGCTACTCCAACCTTTCACGCATATATTCGTTTCGAATTCTATCTCTAATTGTAAAGCCACTCATGCACCTGAGCTTCCTCATCTCTGCAAAACTTACTAAATTTTATGCTTCTCTTTTAATGGCCATCATTCTACATAAAGCATTGTAGGTCTCACCACCATCTTATTATTATTATTTTTTTAATTTGAGAGATACTTTTCTATCACACAACAGACCCGATGCATTCCTCCACTTCATCCATCCAACTTGAATTCTACTAATAATATCCCCATCTATTTCACCATCGTTTTGAACAACAATCCTGAGATATCTAAAACATGCACTCTTTTTAATGGCTAGATCACCCATTGTCACATTTCCACCACTATATCTATTACTATTAAAATTGCACTCCACATATTCAGTTTTAGATTTACTCGAATAAAAACCTTTAGACTCTAAGGTTAACCTCCATAATTCAAGTTTTTCATCAACTCCCTCTCTACTCTTATCAAAAAGAAGAATATCATCATGAAAAAGCATACACCAAGGTATCCTCTTGCAAATGTCTAATAAGAACATCAATGACTAAAAGAAAGAGATATGGGCTTAAAGCTAATCCTGATGTAATCCAACTGAAAGAGAAAAGTGGTCAAACCACCTTGTGTTTGAACACTTGTAATAGCTCTTATATATATATCCTTAATGAATATCAGCATTATTTACTCCTTTCTTTCTATAACTCTCCAGAGTTTTCTAAGAACTCTATCATATGCTTTCTCTAAATTAATAAATTTTATATGTAAATTCTCCTTACTCTCTTTGTACTTCTCCATCAAACCTCTCAGCATATGTATAGATAGTAGACCTACCCGGCATGAATCCAAACTGATTTTGAAAAACATTAACATCACATCTAAACCTATGCTCAATCACTCTCCCATAATTTTAATGTATGACATATTAATTTAATTTCTATATAATTCACACACTCTTGCACATCAACTTTACTCTTAAAAACAGGAATCAACTAAAATTTTTCACGAATGAAAAAAAAAAATTCAGGTTCGGCGGAGTTTATTGTCATCTTGAGAATTCATATATTTCTCGTAAAGAATGTGAATCAAAAAAGAAATACTTACAACTTAAGATCTCAAAGTAAAGGGATTTTGAAGACAGATTATAGCCAGCATGTAGAAATAGTACCTCCAGTATGCAACCTAAAAGCTATTAAATGATTTTTTGAGGATTCAAATTAAATTAATCTGAACAAGCACGCTGAAAAAAAAAACACCTAAGAACTTTTATTAATTGACAATGCATTTACCACAATTTGCAGAAATGAAACAAAAACATGTATGTTACATAAGACAACCCTGCAAAATCGTGATTTTAGTTTCCTCATTATGGATGGACACATTTTTTACAATGAACGGACCAAACTGTGGTAAGAACTCATTTCTCCTTCTCAATCTGATATAGAAGAATATGTGTTCTTATCCCCATAGGATGTTGAATGTAATAAACCCATGCTGGCTTACACAGGTCTGCTCGCTGACATAGAAGGCAGACCCAATAGTAGTTTGAACCAAACAAAAGACAATGTAGCCTCTTCTTATTCTGTCAAAGAATGGAGACGTATCTTCTCCAGTAACAAGGGCGCATTTGCCCCAAGTTGCTGCGGGTTCAGCTCCATTGCACCTGTAAAATCCTGCAGAGATATCAAGCAGCAGGTCCTCTCCTGCAACTCCAAATCCATGTTACACCTTGGCACGTTTGTGGGGTTATCCAACCAAACACCACCATTTATGAGCTTTCCATGAGCTTCCTGCAGGTGGAGCGGCTGCTTTATTGTTTCACAATTCACCCTTGCTGCTGCTAACTCAATAGATGACTTAATTAGCCGCTTCAAATAAGTATCCAATCCATTATTCAATAAAACAGCACAATCTGCCGCTACTCCCATGCCTTGTATTTCCGCAACACACTCCATCCTTTTTCTCAAATCTTCAGTATGGCACAGCTCACCATTATCCAAGCAACTCCTAAATCTATCAATGTTAGCACGTCCTGCCCATTGTAAATATCTTCTCGTCCTGTCTACTCTTGCCTGACAAAATGGAATCCCTAGTGGCGCCTGAAGAGGACTTAGACGCTTATTCCGATCATCTGTGTGCTCCAAAGTCTCCCCATTTTCCTTCATAACCACTTCCTCTTTGCCATTGCTACTTGGCCTACACCACTTCACATGCTGCTCTGTCTGCTGGCTACCTTGAACTTCTACTCGTCTCTCCAGATCATAGGAGCCCAGCTCACCATCTTGTTGAATAGCAATATTTGCCCTTTCATTGGGGCCGCAGACACAATGAGGAGGAAGCAGGATATCTCCATTGGCCCAATTGTGAGGCTTCGGTGGATCCAAACCATTTTCCCTTTTCACAGGCTTCCTCTGAAGAGGCGGGACCTTAGCCTGGCAAGCATTCTTTAAAACAGAACGGATGAGTTGGTTGTGGAGTGGCAAGTTCTCTCGACCAAGTGTCAAAAAACAGAGTTTGTTAAACTCAGACTTGCTTAGTTTCTGGGACAGCAGCCTTTGAAGGTAGTCGAAGTAGCGGCGGGCTCTCACGGCCCCAAGCCGCTTAGCTAACTGTGACTTCAGCTCGCCGAGGTCAACCCTGGACGTCGGCAGAAGGGGTAGCGGCGACATGTCTCAGTGAACAGTGAACATACCAAAACAAAATAACTTAACCAAAATCAACGGAATTAAGATTAGGGCTTGCAACGCTTCTTGCGGAAAGCTAGAGATGCTAAACCTAATTCGAAGCCGCTCGGCCAGGGCATTGCGGGGCATAATCTCATTTTGGCGAGAGGCAAACGAAAAATACCCTAGCTTAGATCAAACCCTAGATGGGATAGGCTGGTTTAAATCAGGCATCATTCCGGCGGCCGAAGCTAAATAAAGCACACATTCCGGTTAGCAATCGAAATAGGAGATTATTTCCTCTGTCAGTTCAGAGGACTGTCGCCCTGTTTCCCGGTGAAAACTTCCCGGATCACACCAAAATCGACGGCCGGCGGCCGCTTCGACCAATTCAAGCAGGCAACTAGAAGACAACGTAGAAGTAAGTTACAGAGATAAAGGAAAACTGGCCCTGACCTCTCGAAGATGGATCGCCCCCGATTGCAAGCCCGAGCCCGCTCTTACACGCTTTCCAGCTCTTCTGCTCGACTTTTTCTCTCTTTTTTCTACCTTCGATCTTTTTTTATATGGAACTATAATTTGATTGGATTGGAGAAGACCAAAATCCGCGTGGACCGCTTTTTTGGGGGATGATTTGTGAATCAAAATGCCGGCGCGATATCAAAAGTTCAAAATAGTAAGGATTTTGAGTTTGAGGTGGAAGTGGACTTTCTTGTTTTGGATTTGAGACGGGAACCCACGCAGTTAGTCAAACGTCGGATTCCTCGAACTCTTGGGAAGTCAGCGGGTAATTTTTTTTTTTTTTTTTTTGGAAATTTTGGAGGCTAAGTCCGTATATTAAAATGAAAATAGATTACAAGTAAACACAAAAACATGTAAAAGAAAAATACAAATATCTAAAGAAAAGACCAAAACAGCAAATCATCAAGAGGAGCATAGAGCCAAAAAGGGGTCTCAGGAAAAGGTCAACCTCCAAGCAACATCACAAAACAGATTGGAAATAGACAAAAACCCATACATCCAGACGAAGTAGTCAGCAAGCAAAATAAACAGAGATTTGGCCATCAAGGACAAGCCGGTTGCCAAATAAATTGCGTGGGGCAGACAACTGATTCCAGGCAAGCTGACGAATTCAACACCAAACCGAAGGTAGCAGGCGTCTAAACACAATATACAGTAAGTGCACATGATGACCCCCATCATCATTGACCCAGCCAAAAATCTCGCATCCAACGTAAAAACCAGCCCAAACAGCAGTCGAGAAGAGATCTGAGCAATTAGTTAAGCAATTCAAACCGAGCAGCAAGATTATCAAAACCTTACCATTTTCTGACTTTCTGAACAATAGCATATTTGATATTATGCTTAAGCTAAGTGGGACTGTTTCAAGAATTTGCAAAATGTCTTCTATTCCGTTCCAACCACAAATTATAAACCGTGCAAGAAACAACTAAAAAACAGAGGTTCTTATCTTCCTCATTGAAATTCTGAAAATTGCCCAGTAAATAAAAAACTTGAAGAAGATTGGGCCTAAGGAGGAACCTCCAAAGGAGGGGAAGAACCAAAATAATAATAGAAAAAGAAAAGTTTCATTCGAAAAAGATATGCTTATGCGTTTCCAAAGATGCTTGACAAAAAGAGCAAATAGGATTCACCGGGATAGCTCTTTGAATTAAAACATCCGCACATTTAAGTTTCTCGAGAGCAACCATCCATGAATAACAGGAAAATCTAAGAGCATGTCATTTTTGCCAAATGTAATTGTGCCAAGAGACTTCACGCAAGTGACTAAAAAATTGTGCAATAAAAACTTTAAAAGAAGGTTTAGCCGAGCCAAACCAGGCTAAAGCATGATGATCAACAATAGGAGTATTCATAACAACCATTTTTAAAGAGTCAGACCAGGCATCATGAATAGCCCAAACCCAATTATTCAAGAAGGAATTAACCTTCCATGTGTCGAAATTTGCCACCTGAAAGAAATCTGCTAATGAATAATCATAGCACCAGGGGTCCCAAGCCATCAAAATATTTCCATATGAGGGCACAAACATCACAATTTGACATTTAATCTTTTGTGTTGTAATACAAATTATTTTCCAAAATTTGGAAGCAGATGTAGGAGGATATTTCCAGACAAATCAATATTTAGCTCTAAATCATTTGCTAATAGTAGATTGAGCATTGTAAAACTGCCAAATGAAAGAGCATGAAGAAGCATGATATAAGGCTTCAAAAGAATGTATCTCTAAACCACTGAATTGAATAGTGAGGGTCGTGTCTTTCCAAGCAATGAGGTGCAATTTTATATCAGCTAAATTACCATGATAGAGGAACTTATAACATAGTTTCGAGATAATTTTTTGGCATTTTTGTGGTATAATGGACCCTCTAATCCAATATGCAATAGAGTTTTCAAGAAATCATGGGACACTGAATCGAAAGCTTTTCTGATATCAGTTTAGCACAAAACACATTGTTAGCCATAGAGAAGTCCCTAAAAAGTTCATCCGCTAACAAGATGTTATCCGTAGAGCACATCCCCTTAATGAAACCAGCTTAACTATTGTGAATAATGAATGACAACACCAATTTAATTCTATTGGCTAAGACTTTAGCCACAAATTTATAAAAAATATTGTAAAAGGATATAGGTCTGTAATAATTGACATTAGAGGCATGGGGACCTTTGGGAATTTTAATAATAGCAGATGCTTTAACACCTTTAGGAAGATGACCAGAGTGATAAAAATCTTTGACAACATTGCACAACAATAAACTAATAATGTGCCAAGCAGACTTATAAAAAGCAAAGGTGAAGCCATCAGGTCTTGGGGCTGAATTGCTTTGTCCCTTAAAAATCGCATCTTTAATTTCCTCATTGGAGAAAGGAGCCATTAGAGAAGATATAATGTTGGTAGGAATAACATTCCCAGATGGAATGTTGAAGTTGAGGGCATTAGTAGGTTTGGGTGCATTGAAATTCTCTTTTAAATGAAGGATAAGCCCCTCAACAATGTCCTTATGATTGGTGTAATGACCCACAGAGGTGGTAATTTCTCTAATGTAATTGACATTGGCCCTAGCACAAACTTTTTCATAAAGGAAACCAAGGTCATCCTCCACTTTAGTTAGCCAGTAAGATTTTGCTATTTGAGAAATCCAGGAAGCCCAAGAACCTTGGAACTTATGTAAGTGTTCCATAATGATTTTCAAGCTAAGGTTGAGATAGGGGTCCAATGGAGATCTTTGGAGCTCCAAAAGGTAGGCTTGATGTCTGCTTTTTAATTCCAATATGACATTAGAGAGATAATTGGAGGAAGTCCAAGACTTTCTTTTTAACTTAGCTTTGAGACTTTGCAAATTTATGAAGAATGATGTAATAGGTATGCAATAGTTATTTTGAGAAAAGATATACAAAACTTCATCCCAAAAACCATCCATATGAATCCATTAATTTTTGAAAAGGAATCGACGAGGATAGTTGGTTTGGGGAGCAGCATATAAAACCTGAGGGGAGTGATCTGAACTAACCGTCGGTAGAGTGTTGTAGTAAGCTTGAGGAAAGACTTCAAGGAACTCAACATTAACTAGCATTATATCAAGTTTTATTTGAATAGGGTGACTGGTATGTTGGTTATACCAAGTGTAGAAGAGACCTACAGAAGTAAGGTCTTGAACATCACCATAAAAAATAAAGCTGTTAAATTCCCCCAATCTACCAGCAGACAATTCAGACCCACCAGCTTTATCAGAATAAAAATGACAACAATTAAAATCCCCCAAGATGATCCACGATTGAGATGCGTAAGGAATCAAACCCTAAGATCATGCCAAAGGGGTTCCTCCTCATTGACAGTATTCACAACATAAACCACCGTCATTAAAATGGGAGGAAGGGAGCCAAAAGAAAGAGACACATGAATCAACTGAGAAGAGGAGAATAACGGAGAAAATGAAAAGATAGAGGGATCCCATTTCAACCATATTTTACCAGGAGTAGAAAGGTTAAAGTTGTTACAACTTTTCTCATTATTAAAAATGAGGTGAGAATTGACAAACCATGAATCCTCAAGCACATAAGCATGAACTTTGTCCTCAAGGATGCAAAGAAATTTATGACTTTGAGAGGACATCAGATCTTTACAAGCACGGACTTTTTCGGGGTTGTTAAACCCCTTCACGTTCCAACAAGCTGTTGGGGGCATATATATTGTTTAAGATTTGGTAGTTTTTGCCTTCTTGGCTTTTTTCCCCTTGTAGATTTTGAGGGAGGGGATGGTTGGTTGTTTTGCTTTTATTTTTGCTTGACTCCATCTGAGATAGCTGTGTCCTCCAGGGGGGGATTAGGTCTATGATAGGCGAAGAGGAAGACTCTTCATCTAAGGAAGCAAACTTGTTGTTGGTGATTATGGGAACATAGGAGGGGGGAGGGGAAGGGATAATGATATGAATTAACAAACCGACCGAAACCTAAACAACATATCGTCTTTTGCTTCCCACAGACAAAATCAGTATGGTGTTTGGCTACACCAGTGAAGAACCTTACAAAACAATATATTTTTTTTAATTATTACATTAAGTAAATGAAATGATTATTCAGTGTGATTATATTAGTATTATAAATTTAAATACAATTAAATTATACCATCAAAAGAGAATATAAACATGTAAAAAACTAAATAATAGTTTAAAAAAAACATACAAATATCGGTAATAGGCCTAGATTGCGATGATACGCATCAACTTATAGCAACATGGATGAAGAGAGAGAGAAAAAAAAAAGATTTGTGAGGGATCATAATAGTTTTTTGGGTTGTGCTCTACATATGGCACCCTCTAATAATAACAACTAAATTTGAATGATATAATAGTAATTGGATTAGGTAAGAATCATTGTCATACTTAAAGATGAAATTTAAACAAAAGGACACAATTCTCATTAAAAAGAATCGAAGGCAACAAGATGAGCAAAGCTTCCAACAATCACAGTGACTAAAATCATGATCGACTTTCATAATCCAAAATAATAGAAAACAATGAAATCAAAATGTCAATTGAAGAAGTTGCGGTTAGAGCTTTATCAAGATAAAACCAATAAATAGAATAGGGAAAAATAACATGAAAATAAGCTCATAAATGACAAACCCACCCAATCAATAAAAACCTAAATAATAGTTTAAAAAACCCTCCAAATATCAGTAATAGGCCTAGATTGTGAGGATATGTATTAGCTTATAGAAACACAGATGAAAAGGGAGATTTTTTTTTTTTTTTTTGAGATATCATAATAGTTATTGAGTTGTGCTATGCATACATCACCCTCTAGTAATAACAAAGAAATGTAAATGAGATAGTAGTTATTGGATTAGGCAAGAACCATTGTCATACTTAAGGATGAAATTTAAACAAAAGGACACAGTTCTCATAAAAAAGAATCAAAGGCAACAAGATGAGCAAAGCTTCCAACAATCACAATGACTAAAATAATGATCTACTTTCATAATAAAAAATGATAGAAAAGAAAGAAATCAAAATGTTAGTCGAAGATATTGAAGTTAGAGTCATATAAAGAGAAACGCAAGAAATAGAATAGAACAAAATAACATGAAAATAAACTATATATAAACAAAAATTAATAACTGATCAAGTATATAAGCCCCCTTTCCTTCATTTCCCCTTATCTCTTATACAAGCATCATTCAAAATGGCAAAAGTTGCATTGCTATTAATAATCACTTAGCAACCACAAGGAGTGCTACCAGGCCTCCTATGTTAACAAGGGGAATAAATTAAAAGTTTTTATTCTCCTACTCTCGATGAAATATGAGATTTATATGTGTCATACACTAAGCACATAAATTGAAACACCAGTTATCAAAGGCTAAAAGATAACATAACTCAAATGATCCTTTTTGGTTAATTCTGCTCAAATAATCCACTTAATACACACACGCGCACGCCTAAGAGTTAAAATGTGTGCCACTTGCAAGTTACATTTTAACAAATAAAACACTAAACCAATTTGATAGTATAACATAATTCATATATATTATAATTTTGCTTGAATAAAATAATTGCTGAGATAATTAACTAGAAGATGATAATTCATAATAAGAGTGTTACCATACTTCACTCTCAATCAATGATGTATAAATGCCAATTCATTAAAGAGCATAATAAATAACATAAGCAATAATGCAAAACATCTTATAATACATATTTAAGATAATATAAAAGGTCATCATTAATATGTCATCAAAAAATTGACTTGATTGGGCACAAACCAAATTGAAATCAAATTTAAGATTATCCAAACTCTAATTTTAACTAACTTTCAGTCAAGATAAACAATGAACATCTTGATGATAAAAACTCATTTAAACTAAGAGTGATCCAATCCAAGTTCGAACAAGCTCAGATTAAATACTTGAAATACAAATTAAAATATTAGACTATTTATTAGAGGGTCAAATGATCTCCAAAACTTGTATGCTTATAGCTAAATCAAGCATCTTAGCAAGCAAAGAAAATGAGCTTAAGATCACTTAGTTCCAACATTATTAAGGGACTTAAATATTGAAAAAAATGATAAATGATAGAGGTAATCAATATGAGTTTCTCACTGTAGTGTTTAAATTTTTTGGCTATATTTATGGAGCATGTTGGTTTCAAAAGCTATAAATTGACCCACACTCTTTACATTAAGGGGACCCTAGTTTGAGATTCAAGAGTACTTAAAGGTATGAGGAATCTTCGAGCTCCATCAAACCACCATTGTTTGATTGCAAATCTGCAATAGTTAAATCAATGATGATGGATCACCACCAACTAGCCAACATCACTCAAATATTACCATTGGATGACTGAATTCTAACTAATGTCATTAGATCATCACTATAAACCATCTCCGTTAAAACAAAAATGTCGAACCTCGGCCCTATGATCATCAATTTTTTTTCTCTAATCATTATCACGTGACTATGGTCATCTAACTATCGTTGCCTAACAACTATCCTTCAATCACTATCACTAGATTATTATGGTCCTCCGACTACTATTTGTCAACTAAATTTCACTAACTACTATCATTCAACCACAATCATTTGACCACCACCACTTTCACTATAATCCTTTAACCATCATCTACCAATTATGATCCTTCGATCACCATCATAGGACTATAGTTCTTAACCATAATCACTAAACTATGGTCCTTCGACTGCTATCACCTAATTACAATTCTCTAACAACCATCCCTCAATTACCATCCTCTAACTATCACTGCTAGACTTTAGTCACCCGGTCACCATCATCGGACTATAATCTCGTGATCATTATTTTCTGACTATATACTACTAACTTTTGTCACATGACTACAATCTCTTTACCATTATTACTCGACTTCATTGATGCCATATGACTTTGTTGCTTGCCTTTGCCAACAACGTCAATGCACACCATCATCTATAAGGCTAATGCATGCCATTGAGACCAACTTAGGCTCTTGATGTTGTCAACAATATTTATGCCATGCTTTTTCGTTTCTAGTCTTCCCTCGTCAAAGGAAAATAACTGAACATATAGTAAATGATATTTTTAAGGCAACTCGCATGCCACTAGACCCTTCCACTTTCATCGTAAAATTTGTTATATATATTTTATGTCTATAATATTCTATCAACACCTTCTCTATTTGTGGGAAAGGGCATTATTTGTAATTGTTGATGTACACAACTAGAGTCATTTCAACTGAGTTGATCTTCATAGTTTTTATTTTCTTTTGATTTTTATTATTAAACCTTTGTTATTTCTCGCAATTCTCTTTTGCTTGTGTGTGTGATGGATTTTCGTATAAAGCTCAGGCATTAAACTCTCTTTCCTTGCCATCGGGAATCTTTTTGCACATAATAATAATAGAGGGAAACATTGGGACCATCCTTCTAAAACCTTTGTAACTTATTCGATCTATGATATAAGCTTCTTCACCAATATCCATAATAGATGCAACTCACTAAATGAAGTTATCCTAAAAAATTATGTCTTTATAGTACATGACTATATTTATCTGATGATCTTTTCTTTATGTTTATCTACCATAAAGAATTTTATACCTAAGTAGTTCTCTCAATTATCTTTTAGATTCATGAACTCTAAACACAAATTTTGATGTTCTTAGGTTTGATATTTTATTACTAAATAATTGAGTTGAAGAAAAATAGCTTTAAATGGCAATAATGTTGGCAATTTTATTATCGACACTTTTTAAAAACGACAACTTATTCGTAACGAGAGACTTCGAATGACCATGTTTATGCAATGGAGACAGAAGTTATTGAATTGAGCACTCGACTCAAGTTTTTGATACAAACAATGATTGATCAACTTACTAGTAGAGCACCCACACACCCAAAGCAAAAAATAGTGACTTAGGTTTCATTAGAAGCAACTTTCTTACTGCTTTTTAAAGTAACTTTTTTAATACAAAAAAAAATCTAATTAAAATCTTTTGTACTAAAAAATTGTTTTAAAAGCAATAAAAAGTTGTACCATATAAAATATTAGCGAGCCAATCAGTAAGTTGCACTAGAAGCCCAAGTGAGCATTACTAATTCAACAAATTTCCTATGAGGTAAAGTAAGTTGCTTAGATTAAGGCTTCGTTTGGGACGGCTTTCTTACTGCTTATTGAAGAAGCTTTTTAGTACAAAAAATATTATTTTTTGTACTAAAAAGCTGCTTCAAGAAGCAGTAAGAAAGTCGTCCCAAACAAAGCCTAAAAACTCTTATTAGCTTAACAGCTATGGGGCATTGTTGGACTAAAGTTATCGCGGATATGCCTATCTATGCCTTAGCATTTATGATCTATGCCTTAGCATTTATGATATATATATTTTTTTGGAAAAATCATTCCTTTAAAGTATAATGATTTTTAATTATTACGCGAGGTGTCCGGATTCGTCCGGAGCCCAATAAAAATATGCCATGTAGCCACAAAATGTACCGCGCTCGATATCACTCGGTACCGAGCGCGTAACCGGACGGGAGAACAGTCCGGCGTTCACACAGAATAATTGCTCCTTAAATTGACACTTAAAGAAGCACTCACATATACTATATATCACCTAGTAAAGCTTAATGATGTGATGGCCTTGTAAAATTTATCAACATTGCTCAATGTTAAATATTCTTGATAACACAAATTCTATTATGAAGTCAGATGACTGATGACAACACAGACCCATTGGAGAAGCATCCTTGATAGGGGTGTCAAAAATTGACATGACATGAAAACTCAACTCGAACCTGACCCGAATTTTTCGAGTTAGGGTCAACCATATATAAGAACGGATCAAGTTCAGATCTCGATGTTCGACCCGCTTTGAATTTCAGGCCAGGTTCGAGTCAACCTGGAGAACCAATTTGAACCCGATTTTGACCCGCTTCGCGAGACGTATAAGCAAATAAGTGATTAAGTCATTCCACTTCTGCACTTTCACTTCCGACCACGAGCCCTAGCCGTGCTTTTGCCTTCCGCCTTTGGCTTTATGCGTTCGATGACATTCCTTCGGCTCTTCCTGAATATTTCTATCGGGTCGATAACGTTCCTTCATCCTTCGACAACGTTTGATGACGTTTCGTCCTCTCGAGCGACGTTCCTTTCTCCTTCGACGACGTTCATCTCCTTCGACGACGTTCCTTCCTATATGGGTCGACAATGCTCCGTCCTCCTTTAACGATGTTCACCTCCTTCGATGAAAGTTCATCTCCCATTTGTGATGCGGGTAACTGTGCTTTTGGGTTGAGTTGGGTCAAATCAGAAACCCGATGGGTCGGGTCCGGATTGAAATTTTTGATCCGCCTGCAAAAAAACAGACCGGATTCAGATCGTGTCAAACAGTAACGAGTCATTCTTGAATTCAACCTAAAACCTACCCACAATTCAATTTTGTCTCTGAACCCACCGTCGGGCCCAGCTTCGGACCACTTTCTCAATCACATATGTTAAATACGGGTTAAAACGATGACCCATAATCAACACGCTATAATCTTAGGCGGGCCCTTGGTTTAACGTACCCTAGGTATTTCTTTCGGCTTCCTCGCTGCCCTACTCCATTACTCCATTTGCACTCCACCGGTTCCCGGCGAGCCGCGAGCACCCCTGGCAACTATTTTTTTCACGGTAAACTTATGCACGCTTTTATTTTTCTTTGCTGCTTCCTTTTTAGTCTTTTATTCTTCAGATTTTTATCATAAGAAGACATTCTCTCTTTATGTTAGGAGGTCACGGCTTATTAACAGCAATTACGTTTTCAAGTTAGACTTCTTGGTCTCTGGGAATTTCTCATAACGCTAGAGTTGATCCAATTATACTAGCAACACATGTTCTACGGAGTTTTTTTTTTGTTTGATTGCGTTGATGTCAGAAAGTTTTCCTGTTAGGCGGGTATTTTTGACACATCATTGGATAAAATTGCCTTATTTTAATTGCAATTCGTCTCACACTTCCTTAATGGGATTGAGTATGAATCAATCGAGAAGATAAGAGTGATGTCCCTGAAATGTCCTTAATTTTGTGGTGATACTTAATCCAGGTATGGCTTTAAAAGCCATGATCTTTCACCTCCTGAAATACTATTTCAAATTACCGATTTGAAAAGAAGAACATAGTGACTGTCTAAAGATCATTATCTCTAAAGATTTAGATGTAGATTTTGATTTATTATCTTTATTCTGGTTAGATCATCATCCTCGACCAGGGAAATCTATTGAAGTCTTTAGTTTTTTTACGGGATATAATACTATTAATTTGGCTTCTGTCTTGTATTTGACTTCTGTAAGACTTGCATTCGGGTCAGCTTTGACTATGGAACATCCGAAGAGGCGCTCACATGCTCTTACCGGAGAAGTGGTATGTTATATTATTTTTTCATGTTGAAGGATAGATGAGTCTCATGTAGGATTTGAAGCCTGAACTAATCTAAAAATTGCTTTTATGTTATGTAGAATTTTGCCCAGGAGGATGATAAACGATTAGAGACAACTAGAGCAAGATGTACAGCTTGCAGTTCTATTAATTATATTATTTGAACTTCTTTCAACGAGAAAAATGTTTCTTATATAAATTGTTGCCATTTTATTGCAGTGTCTAATGTTCTTAAAAGGCATCAAGCATTGACTGAGCGTCTTCAAAGGTATACTATAAGCTAGTTTTGAAGGACTTTTTATTCGTTTTAAATTTGATCTATTCTTGGCATTATTATCATCTATTCCTCAAGGTTTTTCATGATGCGGTGTTGCATCATTTCCTTAAAAAAATCTGATGGTGTCATTATATTGAGCAAAAACAGATTGTATTTTTAAAGACAATTCATTTTAGTTGTGGACATAATAATATAATTAATGCAGCGAGAGTCATAAAATTGATGCAATAGGGAACCTAATAAAAAAGAAGGCAATAGGAAAAAAAGTTATTTGACCATATCAGCATGATTTAGTAGAAAAGTCTTAGCCCCGCTGAAAGTTGCAAAAATAAAAATACCCACGCATGTTGCAATTTTATTTGAGATGTATAACATTGGTAGATATTGGTTCTTCTTTTCACAGCTCCCACTTAGGATTTATTTTTGGATGACTGTTGTTGTCTGTAAATTAGTTGTGAAACTATTGTTGGAAAATCAAAATTTAAAATTTTGAAAGCTGCTATCATTATTATAGATTTTTTTTTTCCTTAGAAAAGTTTGAATAAATTTTTTCTTAGAATCATCACATTCTAGCAAATATGGCTGTAGAAACTCTTACCATAGAAAATTTTGAAAACATTAATAAAGACGAAGCCAAACAAAGAGTGCAATGATTTGTAAAATAAGTTGGGAAAAAGTTATCGCAAACGCACTCTTAATGCTTTATTAGAAATTTCTAAGAGTAAGTGCATTGGGTTGCTTGGTTCAATAAAATTCCATCAGCATGCATTCACTTTGTTCCTGATAAGTTTTGAATCCCTTACAATTATGCACCTTACTGACCTTGGGTTAGCTGGTTGATAACTTGGGTCAAAGGTAATTCAAATTCAATCTTGGGGCATAACTCTCCATTTCTTCAATATTTTGGTGCAATTTCTCCATGTCTTATATAAAAATACCCATGAAGCTTTGATGTTAGCCTCACATTGTGTCCAAAAATGTCTCTTTTAAGAACCACATCATCGCATTCATGATAATAACTTGATGGGGACATCAGAGCATGGAAAGTCTATCAGAGACGTGGCCGTCGATCTACGGTCACGATTGAGTCGATGTATTTATGAGTTGTTTTATTTATTTTCTTTATTATTATGTCATGTTGTATTTGCTTTATTAGTGTTTCCATTTTTACCCCTTACTTAAGGGAGGTCGTATGTAAGCCCTGTGGGCGTCGTCGTCTTTTTATTTTCCCGAGTCTTTTGTACGAGGCTATATATAGCCGCATTGTTCTATTTTCATGTTAATATAAGTTTAGTGGGTGTCGTCGTCTTTTTATTTTCCTGAGTCTTTTGTACGAGGCTATATATAGCCCCATTGTTCTCTTTTCATGTTAATGAATGATGAATTTTCTTCCCTTTGATTTCTTTGTGAGTCCGTGAAGGCGTGAAAGTGTTTGAGAGAGAAATCCCTAGGAGAGGGGAATCAGATCACCCACCAACCTTGGAGACGAGTGGGTTCGTGGTTCTATCTTCTCTACCCCTTCCTCTCCTCCTCCCTCCCTCAACTAGGCGCCGTCCTTAAAGTCCAGCCCACCCCATAAGCCGCTGGCCACCATACAACATCCACTCGCCATCGGATAACCTCAACTCCATCTCCACCCTCATTCGACTAACCCAACCTCATCATCACCCCACCGAAATTTCCCCCTCTCAAGCCCACCAAGCCGCCGGCCTCATCTCCCTTCTCCTCCCTCCAAAGCTCAAATCACTACTTGAATACTTTCCATAAATGGTTGTTCTTAATTTGAGGAGACTTAATTTTAAATTTCAAAGCAATTTGAATTTGAAAATTTCTTTCCTAATTTAAGAATCTATTTTAGGAAAGTTTCTAAATTAAAGCCTATTTGACTTTCAAATTCATTTGGGATTTAATTAAAACCTTTCCTAATTCCTAAACCCAAATTAAGAAGCCTTTAATCCCTCCCATCAATCCCCACCAAGTCCATTAATGCCGCCGGCCCCTCTAGGATTGGATTAGGAATTCTTTCCTAAAACTCAATTCCCCACTTTGGAAACAATTCCAAACCTATCCACCCCTCCTTGGCCGAAATTGACAAACCCCCACACCTCCTAATTTATTTCCAAAACCTAACATTAATTTTTGGAAATAAATCCCTCATCCTCTCTCCCCTCTTGCCGCTGCCCTTATCTCTCTCTCTCCTTTAATTCTTCCCAAGCAAAGGGATTAATTGGAGCATTGTTTGGGAGACCTTTCTCTCTCCACTAATTTGGAACCCCAATTAAACTCCCTCTTCCTCCTTGGCCGACCACCTCACCCTCTTTTCCATTATAATATTGAGAGAAACTTCTCTCTCTAGAGCTTCAAGGATTGACATTGATCTTCAACTACTCAACCTTCTTCGAAAGTCAATGAATGGCCGATCCGGATCTTGATTACGGCCTCGCCTACGACGAACAAGGGTTTGTTAGCATCCTTCACTCCACCTTCTTCGACGTCAATCCCAATATCGACATCACCGTTGAAGAGTACGTAGAGCGCATTCTGGATACCCTTGTCGAGGCCATAGAAGAATAAGTTGGCACCGTTCAGTGGAGGATTGCAACCCAACCGTGATAAAGGTTTACCAATATTCATTTTCTCGTATTTTCATTGTCTAACTTGCTCTTGTGGATTGATTGATTCATGAAGATCTTGTTCATCTATTTTTGCCAAGCCTAGTAATTGTAGGACTTGAGTTTGATCTCTATGCTTCTAATCTCATTGTTAGTGTAGCGATTTTGTTTGAAAGCTACTTAATTTACATTTTATTGATATTCTACATTATTTTGATAAATTAATCATTTGACAAGCGACTTAGCCTGAACGTAGGCACCCTTCTCTTGTTTTATTTTGTCGTTTCAAATTGCTAATAGCTTTAATCATAATTGTTTTTATCAAGGAATCGTGCAAATTCTTATTGCATCCATTTAAAGCATCCTAGTCATGCTTCATAACTTGGTTTTCTTGCTCATACAAAAGGAATGAGTTATTATATTTTTTCAATATTCTTGTAAATTCAAGGAAGCATCTCGAGATAAGAAATAATAGTTTGAGGTTTGAAGGATAAGGAGATAATTATTTTGTTAGTTTGTAAGATGGAAGTTGCTTGGATTAACGTTTTACTAGTTTCCTAATTGGCTATTTGATGGCATGTAAGCTTACTTCTGAATATATTGTCTTTGATTTGTCATATTGAAGTGAAATATTTTTATCCTAACATTCGTATATGTTTTATTCGTTTTCAAGCGAGTGTAATTTTTTGCTTGTCCATTTAGACAACATTGCTAATATCTTTGACTCCATGTTCCCTTTGTTTCTCTTTAGGGACTCTGACAAAATGATGTTTGACCGTTTGATAAAGGAATTTGACGCTGCACGAGCTTCTCAAACTGATGGTATATTTCTCTTGCAGACTTTTTGCTAGGACTTTCTTTTATCTTGAGAGTTGTAGGAAAAAAAATTGGGACGCTGCACGAGCTTCTCAAACTGATGGTTTATTTCTCTTGCAGACTTTTTGCTAGGACTTTCTTTTATCTTGAGAGTTGTAGGAAAAAAAATTGGGTTAGGATGGATCTCAATGCCGTTATATTTGCTTTGAGGTGAGTGCAATATATGAGTAGTCATTAAAATTTTTATTGCACTCATCTCAAAATAAATCCAGTGTTTTTTAAATCCATTTTGATCAAATTTTGATATCAAATTTTTTTTTCCTTTGCTGCAAGTTGGCACTAGGCATTAGAAAGTGATACTTCTTTTGATAACATGAAAATTTATCTTGTATTTTTCATTGCTTACTCTTTCTTATCAACTTAAAAATCTATTCAGCAAAGTATTCTTTTAGTCCATGTTTCTTATGAAAAATTTTGAAGGCTTCCAAATCTATAATCTAATTATTTTTCTAATTAATCTCTTGATCTGAATCTTTCGCACTCCTCTTAATATTACTTCACCCTGCTATCTTGCAAGTTAGATTCTTCTTGATAAAACATGTATGACTAATTTCTACTTATCTTTCTCCCTTCTTTTTCCCTTTCTTCATCCAGATTGCCATGTTTATGTGGGAAACTATCAGTTGGCTTTATTGTAGGTTGATAGTAGGTGGTCAAGTGATAGGAAACACTTGTAGATCTCAAGTATTTCCTATCAGTCTTTGGAAAACAGCGAGAAATCTTCACAAAAGTCCACACAAAGCCATGAAAACAATAGATAATTTGTATTATTTGATGAAAGGAAAATATAAAATAGCAAGATACACTTGATCCTCAATTTGAGAGGAGGATCGATTTCTCCCAAATCTCTAGATGCCGCTAGAGCCCAAAGAAAACCTAAATCTAGGATATCTCAAATTTCAGCCATATTCAAGATGCCCTAACCCTAGAAAACAAACTATTTAATGTATACAAATCAAAAGGAATTCCCTAAACAATCCCTACATTCAAATTTCCCTCTTAATTCCCCCAAAATCCTTTCCTATTTGGCTACCGCCGTGCGGCTCGCGCGACATCTCAACGGCCCAGTTTGCGTCTGGGGTTAGAAATTCCGCCCAGTTCGCGTCTGGGCCGGTCCCGCGTGGACCGGTTCACTGGACCGGTCTAACAATACTCCCCTCCCGAAGATCCACCTTGTCCTCAAGGTGGAGATATGCTCGTGTTCCGGTGGAGGGGGTCATCCTTGAGGTGGTAGAAAATCCTTATCAAATTGTTGATGTAGGGGTTGCCCTGAAAGAGAAACATCCCCTCCCTCCATCCTGATCACATTCAGCTTGTGTAGTCTCACCCGATAAGCTTCCCCCACCTCTTGTATGTCCCTAACCATGGTCTTAAGTGATGTCATGGCTTTGAATAGCCCCGCATCTCCCCTTATAACCACCTTTCTCCTATCCACCATTAATTCAATCTTGAGTGCTCCCCAATTGTCCTTGGTTTCCCCTAAGGTTTGCAACCACTTCATCCCCAGGATGACATCAGTACTTCCTAACTCTAGTGGGAGAAAGTCATCCCTTACTTGAATCCCTTGGATGCTCAACACTACTCTACAGATCCCCTGGCCTTTCTCCACCTTCCATGTACCCATCATCTCTCCATAACAACTGGTTTCCACCAACTTCACTCCCAAATTGGTCAACGACCTGAGTGGAAATGAAATTGTGGGTAGCCCCACTATCAATTAACACCACCACCTCCCTGCCCTCTATCCCCTTTCACCTTCGTGGTATGATTCGTAGTGAATCCTACCACTGAGTTCAGGAAAACCTCAGCCAGATCCAAGTGTAGCTTCTCCTCCTCTGTCTCCTCCTCAGCTCCCTCAGCTCCCTCCTCAATTTCCTCGTCATCGTAGACGGTGAGAACCTGAAGAGCTTGGTCCTTGCACCGATGCCCTGGCGTATACTTTTCCTAGCACCTGAAACACAACCCCTTTGCCAACTTCTCCTGCATCTTCTTCTCTGTCATCCTCTTGAAATTTTCCCCACTCCCTCCTCCTACTGGCTTCTCCCTAGTGGTCTCATTAATGTTGCCTGATGCAGGCCCCTTGGGTGTCTAGAAGAGTGTCGGAGTTCTGTAGAGAGCCTCCTGAGCTGCACTCTGCTCCTTCTCCAGATTCTTTATTTTCCCCAGTCGTGCCAACCAGGTGCCCCCCAAGTCACTAGCATCAGAATTTCACTGCGCTCGGATCTCTACCTTCAACTGATTGAGCGTCACCGACAGACATTTACGGCAGGTTTACAGGCGAAGGAGTCGTGATCGACGACTACGATTCGGAGGCTTATATTTTTGAGTGTTGCGACGTCATCTCATGTTATTTTTTTCTACTTATTTTCCATGTATCTTTGTATTCAAGCATAGTTATTATTTTGCCCTTATGAAGGCTTAGTGTTTGTTGTGCCCGGTGGCATGTGAGTCAGTTCTATTTCATGTTTTGGAGGCGCTTTATAAGAGCTATTCCTATTGTATGAGCTTATTTTTGATTAATAAAATTCTGAGTATTTTGTTCTTATGTTCTGCTTGAGAGGCTTGAGAGAAAGAACTGGAAGCCTACGGAGAGGCTCCACTCGAAGTACCCACAGCCACACTCGGTGAGCCTTTGGTTATTCTATCGGACTCATTGTTTTCCCCTTCGTCCACCAAAATCTCAGCCTCCTGACCCTCCCTTAGCCGTCCTCGCACCTCCCTGCCAGCGCGTCCCTTCAAATCCCCCCTAATCTCTCGCGGCCGAGAGCCCCATCTCCTCCCCTGCCGCCGGCTCCGACCCCTCCTTGCCAGCCCGACCACCATCCGCCGCCGGCTCTCAGCCAGCCCACCCTCCTTTGCCCTGGTCAGATCCTGCCGAACTCCCTGGTTTGGAGTTTGAATTCAGCCATCAAACCTCCATTAATACTTCCTCAAATTAGTAAGCACTTGATTGAGGATTAATTACCTGAATTCAAATTCAAATTTCCCCTCCCTCCCTCATTTGAAACTTCCCTAATTAATTGAAATCTGAAAATTAAATCTCAGATTTTAATTAAATCCATGGGACCCACCAAGTAATCAAATCCCCCTCTCTTTCTCCTTGCTTGGCCGGCCCCTCACACTTAGCCGTTTCCCTCTCCTTGCCACCTAGGCATCTACTTATTACACCCTTAATTTCCCCCCTAATTGCCACCCTTCTCTTAATTTAATTTAGAGAAAGTTTAATGATAAAATAACTTCTCCCTCCAAGCCAAGAAAATCTGAAATTCAAATTCTGATTTTCTCTTCACCCCTCCCTAATTCACGGCCCAACTCTTCATCCCTTTTCTTCTTCCCGCCCCTCCTCAATGTTGAATGGCGGATTCGGAGTTTGAGTGGGGATTAGTATTCAATGCCGACGGAAGCATTAATATCCTACGATCTCCGTGCTTTGATGTAGGATTTGAAGACGACGCCACAGTTGAAGAATACTTGGAGCGAGTTGTCCCGATTCTTGTGAGCATCATCGACCGACAGTTTCAAGACTACGCTTGGATGATCATCGGACGCCATCCACCACCACTTCCACCGGCGGCTACCTCTCCGGTAATGAAGTCCTTCGTCTCCTTTTCCGTAGTGGTGCTCTCCATCTTCGTGTGGTTCTTTCTTCTCCGCTAAAGCCCAAGAGTGAACGAGTGAGAGTGTGCTCAAGGTGAACTTTTTCATTATTAATTGTGGGATTTTGTTATGAGCATTTAAGTAATTCTTTTATCTCAAAGCAAATCTTCGCCTAAGCAAGTTGATTACCTAGAATAAATTTAATCATTTATTTTATTGGCAAGTTTTAATTAACTATTGTTTTAATTTCCGCACGCAATTCCCTCATTGATTCACATCATCAACCCCTTCATAAAGTTCCCCTTTAATACCGTATATGAAAATCGCTCCACCCTATTGGCTAGGTGCTCAAACTGCTCCCGGTAGTTTGCTACCGATCCCTCCTGTGCTAGAGCAAAGAACTGCTCATAAAAATCTCGTCCCCGGTCGATTTGGAAACGTTCTATTATGCAGTTCTTGAATTCCCTCCAATCCTTGATAGGTCTCCTCCAGCCTCTCCACTGGTACCATGGCAGTGCCTTCTCCTCCAAACATAGGCCTGCTGCTGTCAGCTTCTCCTCCTCTGTTAGCCCATTAACGACAAAGTATCTCTCCACCTTATAGATCCACTCATACGCATCCTCCCCTTCGAAGATAGGCATCTTCAACTTCCCCACCTTCTGATCTCCACCATTCCCCCATATTCCTCTATAGCTTCCCCTCTCCCAAGTGCTCGGCCTACCCCACGTCTCCCGGTTTTCCCTTGCTCTGCAATAGCTCAAACCCCCTTCGAATTCCCCTATTCTTTCTTCAAAATTAGCACCTCGGTGACCATAATGTCCCTCCCGGCGTTCCCAATCAGCACCCCTTTGCTCCGTCCCTCCATACCCGTGCTTTTCCCCATACCTACATCCTCTATCCTCCCTCTGGAAAGGCTCCAGATAGGGTTTCCTTCTTTCTCCCTCCAAGATTTCTACCTCATCTTCCTTCCTACGAATTTCAGAATTCGTGTTTTTTCTTTTCTCCTCTTTTGCCACGGAAGCCGCCGTTTGGTTGTGGATTTCTAACATTTTCTTCATTATGTCCCGGAGATCGGCTACTTGTCATTCCATGGAGGAAATCATTTCCTCCACCGTTGTCTTGATTTGGTTCATCTCCCCTTCAAACCTTTCTTCTAGCGCATCAACTTTCTTGGCCGCCATCTCGATCCGAACTTTTGTAAATCCAAAAATTCCTGATTTGGATTATAAAAACAGCACTTTGTCCCTTCTCGACCAAAATTTGGGCACCAAACTTCGCCAAAATCAACCCACGAACGATCCCAAGACTTGCTCTGATACCAGTTTGATAGGAAACACTTGTAGATCTCA